TGGCATTACAGCTCACAGCAACCTCCAACTCCTGGGCTCAAGCGAGTCTCCTGCCTCCGCCTCCCAAGTAGCTGGGACCATCAGGCGCCCGCCACAACGCCCGGCTATTTTTTGGTTGTAGCTGTCATTGTTGTTTGGCGGGTCCAGGCTGGGGATTCGAACCCACCACCTTTGGTGTACATGGCTGGCACCTTAGCCGGTTGAGCCATAGGCGCCGAGCCGGCTTAAGCGATTCTTTTACCTCAGCCTCCCAGGTAGCTTGGACTACAGGCGCCTGCCCAACGCCCTGCCATTTTTTGGTTGTAGTTGTCATTGTTGTTTGACTGTCCCTGGCTGGATTCAAACCCTCCATCTCTGGTGTGTGTGGCTGACGCCTTAGCCGCTTGAGCTACAGGCTCTGAGCCAGGAGCAGGTTTTAGTATGAAGGTGCTTGGGAACATTAGATGGAGTCAGTATTTTTTTTTTTTTTTTTTTTTTTGAGACAGAGCCTCAAGCTGTCACTCTGGGTAGAGTGCTGCTGTGACATCACAGCTCACAGCAACCTCCAACTCCTGGGTTCAAGTGATTCTCTTGCTTCCGCCTCGCTAGTAGCTGGGATTACAGGTGCCTGCCACAAGGCCTGGCTATGTTTTGGTTGCAGCTGTCGTTGTTTGGTGGGCCCAGGCCAGCCCACCAGCTCAGGTGTCTGTGGGCCACAGACTGGGAGCCAGAGTCAGTGCCTTTTAATAAAGAACTGTTTTAGAGGGGGAGTGGCTATTTAAAGAAACCTGAGGTGCTTGTTGTGAGAATTGTGATATTAGAACTTGCTTTTTATTCTTACCTGAGTTATTCGTTTGCCCTCCTACCTCCCTTCAAGCTGCAGAAGTGCCACATGTGTACACAGTTTTTCAGGTTCCTGCTTTTGTCAGAAATAACAAGTAGGGGCTCCACGCCCTTAGCACAGTGGTTACAGCATGAGCCGCATACACCAAGGGTGGACCCCGGCCCCAGCCAGCCAACCAACTATGACAACTGCAACAAAAAATAGCCAGGTGTTGTGGCGGGCACTTGTGGTCCCAGCTACATGGGAGGCTGAGGCAAGAGAATTACTTAAGCCCAAGAGTTTGAGGTTGCTGTGAGCTGTGATACCATAGCACTCTACTGAGGGCAACATAGTGAGACTCTGTCTCAAAAAAAAGAGAAAAAGAAAAGAAATAACAAATAAGTGTCTGAGAATTTCACTTGGAGCAAGCATTGGAAATTTTTGTGGTCTGCATTCTGCATAGCAATCTGTTATTTTTCTAGCCCTGTAATATTATTTGACTTAATCCAAATTCTTTACCTTAGGGCACTTCTCAAAATAGCATAGAAACAATTACTGTCCAGCATTGTAGAAGTGAACACTAGAGCCCACTTCACTATATTAAATTACAATAGACTTTTTTTTTGAGACAAAGTCTCAAGCTATGGCCCTGGTTAGAAT